GAGCAGTGGTACTCTGGGTATCTTTTAGGCCGGTCCTCATGGAAGAGAAATTGTAGAACGCCGCCAGCTGTTCATGTCCTTGTAAATAACACAGCTCATGGATTCAGTTATTTCCTTCCCCTGTGAGAAAGCCGGCGAGCGTTGGAAGTAGCATTAGCCGCTAATAGTGTTATTGCCTCAGGTAGACCACTCCTGTCAGTAACTTTACCACCACCAGACCAAGACTGGACCTGAGTACCACAGCCTCGCTTCTGAGTCAGCTGTGTGAAAATGTCCCATTAACAACCGAGCTAACAAGCTTGCTAACTGACAGCGAACTGGTTAGCTTGGAGAGCTTTTTTTCCGCTCTGTATTGTATAACTGTATTGAATCAAATTATGTACAATCCTGACAACAAATTCCCACGGGGGAGTAAACGGCAAACAGAGAGAAAATAGAAAGAAGCTTGGAGAGATTGGAGAGACTGATGGCTCTGGATGAAAAAAGGCATCCCACTAAAATAATCTGCAGGTTTTCTTTTCATGGTTTTAAACGATAGCTTATATCTGGAGTCTGGTACATTTTGATTTTTAAACCACCGGAAGTTCGTGCTTATGTTGCTAATATCCAGAATATAGCAGCCTCTTCTTGACTGTTGCAGCAGGCAAAAGACAGGAATAGCATACACCTGACTTAATACTAGTGTGAAGTGGTTGGTTTCTGTGCTGTTAACTTGTGCAACCTGTTGACGGTCTGGGACCCATTTATTCCTCACTTTTTCATAATTTGTATTAAAACAGATAAGAAAAGGATGAATGCCGCATACAGATGTACTTCTATAAATTAATTTAACTGGATTTCTTTCTCCATGTATGAATATCATGCATTGATGTGTTTTCCAACAATTTTCTGCATGCATATTATAATTTTTTTGTAACTGGGAAACGTGTATACTGTATGTTCAGTCCCTCATATGTAATACCTCTACTGAATCCTTCCATAAGAACAAACTTATTACAGGATCCTCTTCAGATTCAGCCCCTTTGCTCTCCCTGTGGTCACAGTTACTGTTATTGGTGCTGTAATAATGATTATGATAATGAAAAGCTTTAATGGTAATGACTGCCATCAGTAATGATGAAATTAGGCTCATGTTATATTGTAGCTCCTTTTCACTTCCCCCTGGGTTAATGATACAGCTTCAAGTATGGATTTATTTTACAATGGCCGCTGTAATTTGAGTTTTATGGGACTGTCCATGTTTGAGCCCGACAGAGGAAAAGACATGAAATTTCAGCCGTTTTTTTAATATTGTTCCAGCCTTCTCGTGTGTAAGCTGGAAATATCAAATCAATTCGCGACACAAATTACGTAACCTAATGTCAGATTCATGATAGAATTATGCAGAGAACAAATCCGGGACCTAAGAAATGGCATTTACTTATGCGGCTAGGTTAAATTCTGTTAGTGTTTGCCGTCACCACTGTGGTTGTTATGTGTTTGTTAAAGGTCATGTATTTTCAGAATTAAATTAATATTCTGAGTCAAGAGGACACTTCAACAGACCTGCTGAAGAAATGAAAGCCTTTTAATGCGTTTGAGCTTTGGAGTGAAGACTCAAACTGCAGTAGATATGAGCAAGGACACCGTTATAGTTTGCTTTTCTTTCATTAAAGTTGCTGTATTTACTATTTATCTATTGAGTACAGACATTGACACATTTTTCTCTGATGATACTCATGCTAGTAAACAGTACATTTATCTGTACCGGGTTAGGGCTGTGTATTGGTGAGAATGTGGTGATACAATATGTATCATGATACAGGAGTTACGATTCAATATATTGTGACACTGTAAACTAGGCCATATATTGCAGTTTAATTTTTTTTAAATGAAATTTTAAAGAAAACTGTTATAGTATAAACATTTATTTTGATTTATTTTTAAAAGCATAGCATACAATCTGAGTTTAAAAACAGTTTATCTGCATTTGTATTCATCACAGTTGCTGTAACATCCAACATCGTGGCCCCTCAGTTTACACTTTTCAGAAACTGCTATCTAGAGGTTGGTGGTTTAAACACAAAAATCAATACAATATCACAAAATAAAACTATTTTTTCATACTTTCTTACACCCCTATACCAGATACTCATTTCAGCAGAGTTCAATCCTATGCAACACAAACTCATACAAACTCCATCTGTTAGTTGGAATATAACCTGCTGCTGCTGCCTGAGATGAAACTCTCTCTTTATGCTCTCTCTCTAACCTGAAGCCAGGTCTCATTTTAATTTGAGTTTCAAGCACATTTTAATTCTGACTCGAAACACCACTGCCCTAAGGCCAGCTATTGACAAGGCAAAAAGCGGGGTCTCCTCCATCTTATTTACTGCTCCTGCGAGCCAACCAATTTGCTGGCCATCCCCTCAGTGAGCTGTAATGGCTTCTTGACTGTCAGCACTTTAAATCCTTTGGAGACCAGCTGTCCAGCAAGCAGTAGGTGAGGCTGGGGCAGAACAGACAGTAAAACAAATGATCCTTATGGGAAATTAAGGGGAGATGTAATTATGAGTGATGCACACAATAACCCGTGTGAATGCACCTGTGTCAAATAAAGCTAATGCGAGTTTATTGTGACCAAACCATCAATATTTAATTGATTTACCGTGGAAGTAAACGCTGAGGAAAATCATATGTGCAGTTAACACCCAGCAACATTTGAGATGATCAGAAAGGAAGCAATATTATGTTATGTTATGTTTGCCTTTGTTGTGCGTAGAGATCATACAAGGAGCTTGTTTATGACACACACACAACGGAGACACATCAGTCGGCCTCCAGCGCCCGCTTTCATCAATCAGAATTGCATTGACACCGCATGGCACAAAGTCAAACAGTGTCCTCTCGCCGAATGAATTGGCAGGAGAGGCTGTGAGATTAGATTGTGTCTGAGGAATGCTAATTCACCTGGAGTCTGGGTCTGGAGATGTCGTGATTAAAGACTCAATTTCCCAGAGGTCAGTGTGGTGTGATCACATATTACCACTAACTGATGGAGTGTCTCTGACATCTGCACTCTGACGGTATGGCTGTCACAAGCGGCGACGTCAACATACATTAACGCGGAATAGAGAGTCAGGCGGCTGCGTCAGATTAAATATTCCTGTCAGAGTCAGGAATTCATTCAGTCACGGAGATCTTAAGTAGCCGCGTTGTGCTATCAAACTGCTTATTCATGGTTTAGTTTATGTAAGTGAAAAAGTAGAGGGAGAGGCCGACAGCAGCTCTCTGCTATAAACGGCTGAGCTCTGAAATGCTGCCATCCCGCATTATCTTCACGTAGCAGGAAGCCCTGCGATGCATTATCCCAACATGTGTCTCAGTGGAAGGCATTTCAGAGCAGCAGGTTTTAATGCGGTTGTGCTTTGCTGTGCTGGTACAGAGTTAACACGGACAGCATTTCTCTGTGTTTATTACAAGCACATCATGTCGTCATTGGGACAACTGACTGACAGCTAGAAAATGAAAGTCCTGGCTTACAATTTCATGGCTACACCAGTGATTTTGTGTGTTGTAGCCTATTAAATATACAAATCACATACACTGTACCAGGTGTTGCATAGTGTACTATTCATATCATACCTTCCAGGCAGCATGTGATTTGTATTCATTCCTGCTCTCTGCTGAGAGGGAAACTCACTTGAGATATGTAATCCATCACAGTGACCATTTCGTTGCCCTTGTTTTCCCGTCAAAGTTATTTTATCATCACGCGGTAATGTAGTTGAAAGCAGGAGCCATTTTCTCTCATTCAGTGGTGAATTTGTGGAGCCCCAACACGGACAAAAAGCTATAAATGTGATATAAAAGTGGATAAATCAATGTAATACAGTTAGCTAGTTATATAATTTAAATGAAATGTCAATCTAAAGCCCACATCTACTTCAGCCAGGCCAGCTTATGTTTATCATCCATAAACTGCTGTAGCAGCATTGAATAAACTCTACTAGAAGCATTAAGAATAAAACCTTTTATCAATTTTCACCTTTCAACTTTACTTTTCTTATTTCGTTCTATTTAAATTCATAATAAAAACTAATAGTATTATTAGATGACATATTCTGTTAGATTTTGGAGTAGTCTGATAACCTTTTGCCACATTTTCAAGGACACGTGTTCAATTAACAAACCATTTTCCGTAATAAAGGAAACATCCAGATTCACATGATCCTTTTCAAAATGTCCATGTTTGCTTATTTGTCTTCTGACTTCGATTTCCCGACAGCATGAATACAATGTGCTTTGGCAAGTGTCAAATATCTATTGTCGAAGTGTCCTTGAAGGCACCACGAGTTAAGAGTTTTAAAGTGGCTCCTGCTAGTACCAACATTGGCTCTGGATGGCCCAGCCACACCGGGGATTTCATTTAATTGGCTGACTAGACTGTGTGGGCGTGGACAGACTTGATTGACATCTCTCTGACTCTCCTGTTGCACCAGTTTAGGCGGGAAATATCACGCTGTTATCAATCCCATTGGCCCATGGAGTCTGCAGCAGCATAGCTCCGCCCACCTTCAACCTGAGCAGAGGTCTAATTAGCTCAACTGAAAACACCTGTATGGGGGCGTGGCGACAGCACAACAAACAGATAAACAACGACAGATATTTGACTGACATGAGTGCATAAAAACCAGCACACAGGTAGGTTGTGAACTGGTCCTGTTTGTTTATAGTATACCTGAATATACATCTGCGTTTACTGCGAGGAAGGTGAAGTACATACAGATACAGATTTCAAACTATTTCCCAATATTTGCAGTAAGTCGCCTACTTGCATGATGTATCTTCAGCAGCTGGCAGCGGTGCCCAGGTGCCCGTTCAGCAAGCATGCAGCAGTTTATCAGAGCTCCCTGGGACTCCACTTGAGGAATGAGTCAAATCTTTCCTCATCTTTACACAAACACTATACGTGGCTCAGTCGAGCTCCAACATTTTGACACTTTTATTTCATTTCCACACACAAAGCATAAAAAATAGGACCGTCCATACGGCGTTACAGTCAGACAGCAGTGAAAGACAAACACACACTGAGAGTCTGGGAGGAGGAATACAATTAATGAAGCAATTACATAAAATTATCTAGAAGCACATGGATATTATTTTGAATGCTTTCTACCTGGTAACATTTGGGGAAATCAACTTTTCTTCCTGAGAAAATATGTATTCTCTCACTATTCTTACTAAAGGAAGGAATATATTCAGTTAAAACCATTAATAAAATGATATATTAAATATTTAATGATTGTAGATTCTTATCACTCTCAGCAAGGAGAATAGATTTTCTGTATTACAGTACGAGTACAGTAAGTGATAACCATCTGTGGAGGTTCTGCCGTAACTGCGTGAGTAATTAAAATAATATTCAGGCAGAATCCCGATTGCCAGAAACTGTTAGTCGGATAATAAGGTTACTGTGGTGAATTATGGGATGCTATTAGCTCTGGATACCACTGCATCAGGTGTGGGTTACGTGTATTGTGTTTTGGTTTATTGGTTTTTAGACATGGGACACACTTTCCTGCTACCTGCTGGCGTGTGAATGAGATAAACAACTGTGAACATAACAGGAAGACAATGACCTTAAAATACCCCCAAAACAGGGTGTGTGACAAACAAAACCCCTCTCTGCATGACAGGATCCCATCCCAAAAATAAATACTGTACGAGTGAACAGGTGTATCTTCTTAGTTTGTCCCCCACATACATCCTGCCCCAGCCTCCCTCTCGACGTACGGTAATAACGCTGCTCCTTGCATTTCGTTTCTCTTGGCTGCCTCGCTAATTGGCTGCTGTTTCCCTGAGCAGTTAGCTGATTGGTGCTCCTGTGGTAACCAGCTTGTAGTAGGCTCCCTTCAGGGCCATGAGCTGGTCGTGCGCTCCCTTCTCGATCACAAACCCCCGGGACATGACGGCGATAATGTCAGAGTTCTGAATGGTGGACAGGCGATGGGCGATGACGATGCAGGTCCGACCCTCTCTGGCTTTGTCCAGGGCTTCTTGCACCGTCTGCCATTTTAAAAAAACACACGCACATGCATGAAGCAGCGTTCACAGACACGCACTCAGGCGGGTGCCATCATCAGTTCTCCCGCAGAGCAGACGTACAAGCATCGCAATTATAGCAATTTCACAATCATGCGTTGATTACTATCATTAGAATGCTTCAGTGGATGTGAGCGCTGAAGAGGCCGCTCTGTCCTCAGCATGGTTCAGCCTTTTGTGCTGGAAAAGCAACTGCATAGGCCCACATACCATATTCATCTTAAAGAGGCTCTAGTGGTGGGTTGGTATGAACTGTGAGCTGCTGGTGATAATAATAGAGATGATGAATGATAATGATGTTAATGATAATAATAATTAACTCCCTGCTCTCCTTGATCTCTGTGCCCGGAGAATATCAAGCAGCTGCACTGTACTGTCATGTGAGGTTTGTGGATTCAGTAAACGATGACGGCGCTGCTTAGGGTTTAATGAAGCGTACCTTCTCGCTCTCAGTATCCAGGGCAGAGGTGGCCTCGTCCAGCAGCAGGATCTTGGGGTCACGTATGATCGCCCTGGCGATGGCGATTCGCTGCTTCTGACCGCGAGACAGCTGGGAACCCTGGGCGCCGACGTTCGTGTCATATTTCTGCAGCAGGAAGAGAGAACATCTGTGTTAAATGACCTAAATATCACGGTGAGTTACACCCCCATTTAGACAACTTTATTTGTTTTAAAATCCATTTTTTATTGTTTTTCTGTGAGGTCATAAAAAAATCAACAGGCAATAATTACTTTTACCTGGATTCAGTATCCTTTGTGAAAGCAATAAGCAGCAAAATGTCACAAGGCCACGTTCTGTGTCTTTCAGCTTCAGACCTCTCTCAATTCCTCTGGGCTTGTTATTAATGGAACTTTCCATACCTTGCCCTCAGACTTTCTCACTTTGCCCCTCATCACCTGGGACTGTATGCACAAAACATCCTGAGGCTAACTGTAGCTCCCAACTGGCCAAGTTAAGAGAAAGTCCCTAAAAATAAGAAGTGCATCAGACCTAAATTTGGGACTCCTGAGTTGTTTTTTTTTGTCTGACACACGTTAGAGGTTAAACCAACAGATCTGCCAGGCTGATGTATTGGCCAATATTAGCTTGGTGCAGATATTTCTGTATCGGTGTTTGTGTCAGCCGGTAAGTAACAAGAAACTGCAGGTAATTTAGAAACAGTGTCTTCATTGCAGAGTTTGTCCACCAGAGAGCACTGACAAGTTGATTTTACCCTAAAAGGTTTGACACACTACACATTATGGACTCAGTTCTTTATAAAAACAGATCTGTTGGATTCATATCAAGTTTGTTTGTCTTTATGTAAAAAAAATTTAAAAAAGCGATATATACATTACTGCTGAATTATCCATCAAACCACAATAGACCTTTTTCTTAGCAGCCACTTTGACATAAAATAGTAAACACAGTAAATAAACACAGGTGTTACCAATGATACTGATACTAGTATTTCAAAATGGCTGCTGTAAAAAAAGGTCTATGTGCTCTCTAGCCCACTAGACTATATAATTGAAAACTCGAAAGTTGTAGCTTTATAGATTTGTAATTATTAGTACGATAATTATCAACACAGAATAATTATCAGCCAGTAATGGGAAATGATTGTTATTATGTATCATGCTGATAATTAAATTAAAGCCGATAAATTATTTTTTGTAATTGACTAGAAAAAATAAATTAACATTTGAAGAGTCAAATGATGTCAGAGCGATGGATTTTTAAGTCATCCATCTTCGCTACATCTCAGCCTTTCTTACCTACAGGCATGCATAGACGTTTTAAAAAACAAAAATGTGAAATTATTAGTTCATATTATCAGTATTGGTAATTATCAGTTATCGAATCGGCTGAAAAACAATCCATATCGTGCATCATAGACGTAAGTAGTAAAATATGTTTTTTTTCCAAAGCTGTTATAACCAATTTCAAACTAATGCATTCAGTTTGATTTAGCCGAGAGAGCACTCATAAATCAGCTGGCAGATTAGTCTATATTGGTGAATATGATCCACTAATCACTGTGGACGAGTTCTTAGTGAAAGCTGCAGTGAGATACACTGTGTACATAAATATACCAGCCTCTCTACCATTTTCCAGACCATATATTGTGCCCTTGTTCTGTTCATGCCTGCTGTCTATGTTTGCCTCTTCCCCCTTTTTACATTTTGTTTGTCTTTGCTGACTGACCGCCTGTTGCTGTCAACACCACAAACATCACACACAGAATCCACTGTACCTCGGGGAGTGACATGACAAAGTCGTGAAGCTGGGCTTTCTTGGCGGCGGAGATGACCTCATTCATGCCGATTTCCCGCAAGTTGTTGCCGTACTTGATGTTCTCTGCGATGCTGCAGTCAAACAAGATGGGCTCCTGGGACACGATGCCAATCTTGGAGCGCAGGAAGGGCACGTTGACACGAGTGGAGTTATGGCCATCAATCAGCTGCAGGAAGCAATTGATTTTACCATTAGTAGAAAGCAATATAATAATCAAAGACTGGAAATACAATCCACTTAATGAGCTATCATAACACAATCTCTACTGTAATTTCTCTCCTAACTGTGCAGGGGTGATACTGTCCTTTTTAAATCTCGGACAGAGAATCGGGACTACGTGTTTTCAAACCACTTCCAACTCAATTAAGGCCATTTGAATCTTGGCAGCGATCCCTTACTGGCACAAAGGCAAACCTCCATCCTGGGTGGAGTGCCCGTTTTTTAAAATAAAGCCAAAGTCAGCATAAATGTCTGATTGATAAATGGAGTGAAGTCATATAAGAGTCAGAAATACTTCAATCACCAAGTGCGCTGAATGTCCAGCAATTATTCTTTGACTTTGACGAATTACAGGTTTTACTTTACACAATGACACTCAAGGTACACCCGGGCCTCATGAGTGTAAGTAGAAAGCAGACTGTACATATGACTTATTCATTTCAGAATGAGATATCTGACATTTCGATAAAGGTCAGCAGCTGCTGTGACAACATAAAGTTGGTTTTTAAAGTCAGACCTCTCATTTGCACGTACCGTTTGTAGAAATATGCAAAGAATTCACCAGATTCCTCCTGTACAGGTTCTTATTTATCTCAACCATATCTATATGTAACAGAGTTACTTTGTCTGTCAGCTAAAAACAGCTCCCTGCTGTGACTGAAAACGACGGAAGTGGAAATACCTCAATACTATCAAATAAAGGTGTAACAAGAAGCCCCATGCCACTAAAAAAAACTTAATTTTAAAGGAACAAGTAACTATAAGCTGTCAACTAAATGCAGTGCAGTAAAAATAACAATATTCCCCTCTAAATGTTCTGAAGAAGTATTACTATATATATTATTTCTATTCATAACACACTTTATATTCAGTGTACATATGCAGTGTTTGGCTGTGTGTCCTCCTCACCACTTTGCCATGGTCAGGATCATAAAACCTCTCCAGCAGCTGCACGCTGGTGCTCTTCCCGCAGCCGCTGCTGCCCACAAAGGCCAGCGTCTGGCCGGGCTTCACCGACACATTCAGCCCATTCAGGACCTGGATGTCAGGCCTGGTGGGGTAGGTGAACTTACAGTCAATGAAGTCAATGTTCCCTTGGAAGTTATCCTGAGGGAGAGAAAACAAAACAAAGAGTACAAAGGTTAGTGTAGGTTCCTGGGTGTGTTAGGGCGCCAGCTCCTGTCCACAAAAGGCAGGTTAGTCTCTCCAATTACAGAATTTAATGCTAACAAATGTCTTATGAAAGTTTTCTATTATTCAAAATGATTCACATCTTTTAAAGGGCTCTGTGTACTGGTATTTTCCTTTGGATTTACAATATGTGACAGTCCATTCTTATCTCTTCCTTCCATCTACATGTGTCTTTCATGACTGATGTAAAATTAAGAGGCACAGCAATAAAGGAATAACAGACTTTTCATCTAGGTTCCCTTCTGAACCTATTATGTAGGCAGTGCTCTTTTTTTTTTTTTTGTACACTCAGCGTGCAGCGTTGTGGCTTGACACATAGCATAACAAATACCCTCATACCCATTTATCTCCCTTGTCGCTGTAGACGCTGATCTTGGGCACACGGTCCAGCAGCTGGAAGAAACGTGCGGCTGAAATCTTGGCCTTGGCGTAGTCCGGTGTGTAGGAGGAGGCTCTGCCAAGGGCTGTGCCACTGGTGACGATGGCTGAGATGACCCTGCCACAGAAACCAATGTAATGTAACTTATCAGTCCACCCTGTTGTACTTCTACTGACTTACCACAGGGTTGGGTCCTTTCTCTTTCTCTCTCTATTTTTTAATTATAATTCTTAAAATATTCATGAAATCAAACCCAGTTTTGATATATGCTTGGCATTTTTCAGCATTAGTTAAATATATTTACATTCTCTAATTACACCTCCATATTGTATCGGTAGTGGCGGAGTCTGCCATTCCCACATGGGATTCAGATTGCCTTCACACACACAACAGATTCACAGGAACAGACTTATGTGAGTAATCAAGCATTACTGTTCACTCTCCTGCAGCTGTATCTGAGCTGTGTTAACGTACTGCTAATGATAACCCAACATTTCCTGCTGTGTCACGCTAAAGGCAATCAGCTGGTATAAGAAGGCTTTTATTGTATTTGTATTTGGCACTGAGGTCAGCATTCACAGTGATTGTTTAACAAAAAGGCTATTACAAAACAAACCCTGGTCAGCAAGCATTTTTTTGATAGCAGATCAGTTAAATATTTTATGCGTGTGAATGAATTCTTTTGCCTCTAATTGCCCCTTTAGGAATTAATAAAGTATTTGAAATTGAATTTGAGCAACGAGGCCTGAACAAAAAATTAAATGTTACTACTAAACAGGACTGACAGAAAGCCGTGTAGCCTGGAATTAATTGCAAACAGCAGTAATGACACACAGAATGACACCAGACTTGTCAGCCTTCTCCTCTCACCTGAACACCAAGCTGAAGTGGAGCCCCTCCTGTCGCACCAAGTAACCTCCAAACCTGTAGGAGGCGGAGTTCGTCAAGAAGACGACGCACTGGGCGAAACCATAGCAGGCTCCGTATACGTTTGCTTTCTTCAGGGCCGCTTGGTACGGAGCGTCTAGCTGGGCATTGTACATGTCCACAAAACTCCTCTCTTTCCCCAGGCCTGCGATGGTGCGGATGTTGTTTAGTGCCTCACCAGAAATCTGCAAATAAACACCTCGGGTTGAAATTCCAATACCATGTTAAATGGCAGAAAAACAGGCAGATAGTTGAATAGAAGCTGTTCCTAATTCTTATGTGTTTTTAATGTATGAAGTAGAATATGATATAGATAAAGCATTGGCTCTGTTATCTATATCCTATTTTATGCTGCTGCAGTAAGCCAATTTCCCCCCACAGGGATCATTAAACTTTCATCTAATCCACTTTACTTGGATGGGTGGGGTTTACTGCATGGGTATAATTAAGATAGCGTAAAGAAAGTTCACAGTAAATTGACTTTTGAATACTTTTTCTTTGATTCCTTCCTACTCTTGCTCCTACTGGATTGGCCTGAGGTTTTATCCACTGTGTAGTCTTTCAGTACTATACCTGAATTTTAAGCATGGGTGGCCCCAGTAGGAATAGAGCAGAGACAGTGTTAGCTCCCTTCCTAACTTGCCAAATTATAGGAACACCTAATAAAATGCTATTGTACCAAGATCTGAGTTGAGCTGTAGGGATGTGGAGCTTTTCTTCAGTGATGAGAAAAAGCTGAAACCTGGAGCCTAAAATAGACACTGTTGGTAAGCTGTCTCTTATCTGCTGTCAGTAGATAAGTCATATGTGACCCTCTGCCTGAAAGTTTAGCGGGATTATTGGGATGATGCTTTTTGACTTGTCACTCATCCGAACTGTGATGATGAAAATAGAAACACTTTGGTAAAGCTGTACAGTAGAAACAATATCAGACCCGTCCAGCCGACTCCATGGCCTGCTTGTCCTCTTTTGCGAACCCTGTTAGCATCTTAGCCTGGAAGCCGCCAGACAGAGCGATGAACGGCAGGAAGCACAGGATGAGCAGCGTGAGCTTCCAGCTGAAGTAGAATGACATGAGGACGGCGACGCCGATGTTGGTCAGAGAGTTAACGATCATCCCAATCTGCGAACCTGTAGCCTTTAGGAGAGGATGAGCGAAAAAGAAGGATTGTGTTACTTTACTACAAATTAGGATACCAAGCAAAATAATGTAGTTAAGTCACATTTTCAAATATAATTCATTACAATTAAGGCTAGATAACTCTGTGGCAGTTATTCTTGTAGCATAAAGTGCAACATAAAAAAACAAACACATGAAATCACGTAGTAAGAGTAACTCAGACTCACTCAGCAGCTCTGCATCAATGAACAAGAAAAATCATCTAAACAGGAATGTAATACGAATATAACTAGTATCCTGTCATTCCTCACAAAAAGTAAGACCAGCATGACATTACAATCAATACATCAACAACACCGGTAGCGGTAATGATAAATCAGTATAAGCATCATCCTACAAAGGCCTACATACTCTAAAGGCGTCACTCAATAGAGACTGGGGCTTCCTCTCAGCTTTTGTTTGGGAGGAGAGCGTGTCCTTGAGGTACATTTGTTAGCAGCCGCCCTCGCCACCGTTCGAGAAACCACTTTGCATTTAGAAATCCCCAGACGTTTGGTCGGAGCTGAGATAGGCGAGCTCCCTCCTGCACTGAGGAGGAGAGTAATGGCTGTGGCGATGAATGAGTGTTCGTCTCTGTAGTCTTGACTGAGGGGACGTGTGCAAGAGGGTAGGAATTGAAACTCCTGATGAAGAGGGTGGGTGCAGTCTGAGTCTTCACCACCACACTGTTATACAGAACAGCCTGGCTGGACACCTGTAATTTTACTGCTTGTATTCACTATTTTAGCCAGTGCAGTCTTACGAGTTTCTGTAAGCAGAAAAGTTGCTCTCTTATGGACCATTTCAGTGTTTCATCCGAAATATCAATGACTGAACCACGGTATTTGTAGCTGACAGCAGATTCTACCTCTTGACCCTCAGTGATGGTGCTTTAAGTGGGATGAGGACGGTGTCTGAGGTCAATGCACATGTCTTTTGCCTTTGATACATTGAGTTTTTGCACAGTCAACCACTGTGAATATTCAGCCGAAAAGGCATAAAATGAAGGCATTACAACCTTTCTGTTACATCAGCCGTAAAACTTTAAAACCTTTTTCCACCAGCGTCACCACTTCTGAAGTTTCCTGCGTTTGTATAAAACACCCTCTCAAAACTAACATATCAGAATCACTGTGTTTTATGAGTTTGTGTAGTAAGTGACTCTGCAGGTTGTGCATACTGCATAAAATGATTTTCAATCAAAATTTTAATACCAGAAGAGTGGCCTGCTGTACTGGAAACAAATCTCACCGTCTCAGCTTTTTAAATCATTTTATTGCTGAATATGGGACTGAAGGACTTTTAGAAATCATTCTCTTCGCTGTAACTCACTCCTTGAACTTGTGAGGCATCAGTCGCCAGACGCGTTGTCAGAGCTCCGGGGCTGTTTCTGTGATCATCAAACCAGCCGATCTCTTGGCCCAGCATGGCGTGGAAGCCGAGCCGCCGTAACCTGCGAGTCAGCAGCTCCCCAGACTTGGAGAAGGCATAACTCTGGAGACACACGCATAGGAAGTATTTTTTATTAAATCCCGAATAACAGCACAGTGAGCTTCAACACAGTATAATGTAATATATTAGTAATCTGAGAAACCTGCGTCTTTGTCATCCCTCCCCACCAGGGGGTCTGAACTCATGACTCAATTATAGAACAGCATCACTGCAGGATGTAGGAAAACTCTTTTTCACCCACAGAAGGTATTAATTTGCCAAAATAAAGGAGGTCTCTTATGACTTTCCCCCAACCTTGAACACAAGCAGGGGGTGAAGGCAGTAGCACTTTAGCAATCAGTCTTGCTAAAGGAGACTGCTACTCTACCTGCAGCATCTGGGTGAAGAAAGAGACCACGCCGACCATGACAAAGAACAGGCAGATACCATCAATCTCCTTCCTCTGAGCCACAGGATCTGTTACTGAGAATGTCTGAGAACACACACAAACACACACACACATACACAAACACATAGGCATGAGCAAAAAACATGTTATTATGGACCACATACATAATGCATGCACACTTACACACAGCAAGGTGAAGGAATAGCACAATACAGTGACCATTGTCTTATTTTACTTCTTCTAAACATATATAATAACACATCACACATAAATACATAGCTGTATATTTACATAGAAGTACAATACTCCTTTCATAGGACTGTACTGATGATGCAATGCACCAAGCTTGTTAGAATTTGTAAGATTATTTATCTGAGCATGTTATGTTGCCCAGTGTCAGCAGAACGGGAAGAGCAGGAACGCGTCCTGTTATTCGGACTTTACTGCTAGCCTTATAGTCGTTTACTTCTGGGCAGGTGGCGCTCTCCGTGGTACTGAAAGAGAATTTGATTCTGGCATGTTAGATCAGCTTTTTCCTTTTGTTGTGTATGTTCGCATTCACTGTGTGTCTGCGTGAGGAAAGGACATGAGAATATCGTGCAACTTTAAAAAATTCATTAAAATAGTAGGGTTCATCTAACTTTACCAGGTGCAAGAAAAAGCCTAACAGGCTTCTCTGATGCGCTCTAAATTCATTCAAATCCTTGTGTACATGTTGGGACCATAGGCCATCAACCACCACCCAATCCAAGGAATTATTTTCTCTGGTTTAGAGCCCCACACTTTTAGTTATTTTAAACGTTTGCATGCGTGCAGTAAAGTCACTGCAGCAAATATCTTTAATATTTAAGCAGCACAAATAACTGTAGTTATAAACTTAACAGCACAGAGGAGTCTTCAGGATTCATTAAGAGGAGGATGGCTGTTTTTCTCCAGCCAATTTCTCAGTATGAACCTGGACTCTGTGTGTGAACTTTTGGATGTGTAGAAGAACACAGAACATTAATTAACATTATCCTGACCGATCCTGTCAGCGTGTCGGGAGAGTTAAATAATCAATAAAGATGCTGCTGTGCCTCATGCGTAAGACGCACACATTCTATCTTAATGGGGAGAGGGTTCACACACAACCCCAAATAAGTATAAAATGTATGTATAAAATGTTTTATGATGTTTTAGAGATATTTGAGCTTGTTCACTGCAGTGCTTCTGAGTGAGTTTATATTCTTACTGTGTTATGCATTTGTAGTGGTACAAGTGAAACTAACTCCACCAACACCATTGTGTTAGTGTCAATATCAGATCTTCTGTAAATGCAACTGCCAGTGATGGTGGCTCTGCAGCCAATTTTGTTACGGGTTCGTTCACCTAGTGGGAGACATCATCATCATCATTATCGGCATTACAACCAGGAGACTGAGATGAATGTTCCAACCCAGTTGCTCATAATTGTGTTCTGAACAATAGGAGCTGAGCTGTTAGCTTGCCAGCTACGGTATTCACCAACTAGCCCTATGAGTAGTGACCTATTTCACACTGGACACTGGTCAGTAGTGTCCCCAGGTTGGATTTGTGGTTAGTACACAGTGACTTTAAGCCTTTTTCTATTAGTTTGATTTGTATATTAAATAAAATTGGATCTGAACTTGAACCTCACCGCCAAGATTTGACTGAACAGTAGAGAGTAGACGGGATTGACCCCTCCATTTATGGCGGCCCCAAAGGATCCAAAAAGCATATAGGGCCATTCAGGTATGTTGTACTTCAGGATCCTGGTGACTGGAGCAGGCTCCACCAGTTCATCGTCCTCCTCCTCTGGGACGGCATCCTGAGCATTCACACGGACAAATACACACATTATATATATATATGCAGTAAAAGCTGATGCCTGTTATCTGAGCAGTGATATAGAAACAAGTGGTTTTACACTCCTGCACACACCTTGAATTTGTCTGCCTGTGACACAGCGTAAGCTCTGGGGCCAAGCTCTCCAGCGATGGAAACAGACGACTCTGGGATCAGATTGGAGAGCTGAGATCGGGACCGCTGGCGGATCGAGGCTCTGGAAAGATGCAATCGTCATGGCATGCACATGAATATTCTAAGGACACAGGAATATACTGTAGTTACTTGACTGTTGTTCTCCTTGCATTCATTACTGTGTGCTTGTAATGGTGGTGTTTGAGGACCTCAAGCCTCCTCTGCTGTTGCACCATTTGTAAGTGGCTCTGAGTGATAGTGTCAGCTAAATGCTACAAATGTCAAAGTAAATGCAGAAGAGTAATTAAGTAAATGACGGTACCAGCTTCTGCCATGACACAACTCAATTTCAGCCACAAAATGGCTACAGTAATAATCCTATTTAGATGCACAGTAGTGTCAGGACCACGTAAATGGATATTATACATAAGTGAGCTCGTGACAAAGGGCAGCGGGTTATTGGGCATGTGTTTGTGTAATACCTCAAACTGGCGCGGTAGCTGCCTGCTCTGGATAGATTCAGCCTCTCTGGCTCTTCTTCATTGTCAGCCACTAATACAAGAAATCCAATAAAGGGTGATTATCACAAGTAATGGATCCTTATAGTTTCTGTATGTGGATAAATATCGCTTGTAGAGCGAGGATTTAGTGGCATGAAAAATTCGAAGACATTATCCCCCGAAGTTGGACCTACTTTGCCGAGCCTTCTCATTTAGAGCCTTGTCTCCTTGGCTCTGTAGGGTGACAAGAGTGAAGTAGACTCCCTTCCTTTCCAGCAGCTCGTTGTGTTTGCCCCTCTCCACAGCCCGGCCGTGCTCAAAGCCAACAATCACATCAGCATTCTTTATGGTGGACAGCCGGTGAGCAATAGAGATGGTAGTGCGACCCATGCGTACCTATGAGGAAATTAAACTTGTGTTTCTGCTGGGAACTGAGAAAAACACTCTTGATAGATCAGTAATGATGACTGGGGGGGGTATTTATTTTAAATAAATAGCTTTGAGATTTAACATCAATTTCTTATTTTCTGATCATGAACTGTCCCTATTATTTTAAATGTGGCAGACTTTTCTCATCTCATTACATGAAATTAAAATGTTAATATATCAAAATAAAAAGAGAAAGTGACACTCAGTCTCCTGATTTATCCATTTCTATATTGACTTTTTTTCACAGCAGCTATTCTGACAGACAGTTGCAGACGGATAAATACAGGTCCATTTGTTTATTTCGCTATAACTCTCACTTTTAATTGCCTTCTTTAAAGAGAAACTCACAAAACATTGATTTTACACATCAAAGCCTAGATGCTAACAGGGACAAAGAATGTGTGGAATAAAAAAATCTCTGGTCCTGCTGCATCTATTTTTAAATGTATTTTTATACTGCCCTTCGTGAATGTGATAATGTTATAGGAGTGTGATACTGAAGTTGTGTTATTAGGACATTTGAATATTTTTGGAGTATGCTCAAAGAGGAATAGTTTTCATGTTATGTCTCGTGTTGTCAAAATGTACATGGATGTTAATACTGATTTCATTGATTGTAGATTGCCACTCAGTGTTATGTATCTGTAAACCCGTATCTCATACTTGTGTTAAACTTTCCTTGAAAAAGAAGAATTAAAAAATCTAAGCTAAAGAAAGAGAAATAACGGCAAAGTGTTGAAGAAAGCTTTGGGTTAGCTCAGAATTTCATTTTCCTGCCATCAAGTTACTTCTTGCACATCAACCAGTCAGACTCACTTTATCCAAAGCTTCTTGAACTATGGCCTCGCTCTCGTTGTCAAGGGCAGAGGTTGCCATGTCCAGCAGCAGGATACGAGGATTTCTGACCAGAGCCCGAGCGATGGCGATACGCTGCTTCTGACCGCCGCTCATCTGACCTCCGCCCTCCCCCACCAGGGTGTCGAATTTCTGTCAGATATAAAAGGACAAGGAGAGTTATTCAGCTTATTGGCTGTTAAAACTGCTCTGAATTCATGCTTTTTGCACATGAGCCCTTCTCCCTTCTACCTGCGGCAGATCCATGATGAAGTTGTAGGCGTTGGCCTCCTTTGCAGCAGTGATGATGTCTTCCATGGAGACGCCGGGTCGACCATAGCGTATATTCTCAGCGATGGTGGTGGCAAACAGCACAGGCTCCTGCTCCACAATGCCAATCAGCGAACGCAGCCATTGGATGTTCAGTCCTCTGATGTCATGACCATCCAGGGTCACCTGAGATGGAGGGCGCAGAGAGGTTTTGCTAAAATTGATGGATGATGCCATTAGAGTACTTTTTTTTGCAGAAACGCTACTTTCAAATGGTGCGGTTGTTAGTCTTGTGTGTAACCTTCATTGTGCTATAAGAGGTTATTTTCTGCTCTGGAAGCTGAAAGGAATAAGAAAGTAAGGTGTGCAAAGACCTCTAATTTCAGTAAAAGTGAAAAATGAGGGTGTTAGGACCCATTGGCTGAATGAAAAAACAGATTATCATGTACTTCTATCAACCCCCGGGGGAAGGTTATTTTTGTAACGACTAGAATAAAGCTTTAAAGGAAGGAGGAGGCAGCTACAGTGTGTCGAGGGAATCTTCAATCTCAGGAGTTGACAAAAGGGACCACCGATAGAAGAATCACAGTATATTACATAAGAACACGTCAAACCTACCATGCCCTCTTTAGGGTCATAGAAGCGCTGGATGAGCTGAATAGCAGTACTCTTCCCAGCTCCACTCGGACCGACAAAGGCTGTGGTCTCCCCTGACTTCACTGCAACACTGAGCTGGTCCAGGATCTGAGTAGAGATCACACGACACAATGGCAAAAGAGATGCAGAAAACTGTGTCCGGAAATCGAATTCTACTCTCAGTTATATATGATAACAAATGTAAATCTCGTAAGTACCTTGACTTCAGGTCTGGACGGGTAGTAGAAGGACACATTATGAAACTCAATATCTCCCTTGACCCTGTCAAGCTTGTATCCAGCCTCAGATAGACAATCAATCTCCGGCTCCTGACCGTGACACATTTGAAAAATGAGACTTGTCAATAAGAGGCAGTGGTTTCCTTTGAAAACACTGTACCTTGTAAGGATCAAATGAGTGCAATATTATAACATCCAGCATTCTCACTCTGTCGATAGTCTCAAAGATGATGGTAGCAGCTCCACGGCCTGCAGCGAACGCCTCCAGACATGGGGAGGCCTGCCCCAAATTCATGGCTGCTATCAGAACACCAAAGAACACCTGGAATGACAAGGTCGGTATATTAAAGCTGCAAAACCTTTCTTGGCCTGCACAGAACACTGTTAACAAGGTATCACGCTGCACATACAAATGAGTGTTTTTCAGTGTAACAGATTTGAAATTGCACAGGATAAAATTTGTGAAATTCCTCATGTGATTGTTTTCTCTGAGGTTTTATATCCAAGCAGCACTGTTATGTTTTTTCTTGTTCTGTCCATGTAAGTGAAAACTGAATAAAGGAAAGGGGGAATTCAAAGGGTGCTTGTAAGATATGAAACATCAAGGGTCGTGTAAAAACTTCCAATCCCAAAATTAAACCAAATGTTAAAATCCAACAAGAAAAGGCTTGTGATTATGGGCAGGAAAAGTACAATTTTCCCATTTGCTGCAGTGCTAATCTGTCAGTATTAGTTGTACTAAACCAAAAAAGCAAATAGATGCATATTTTTTCAACATGGTAAGTGTGATACCTGCAGTAGTGTTCCTGGTGTGTACTCCTCTGCATCCACCACCAGACTGGAGCCATACCAGAAAGCCAGACCATAGCACAGAAAGATAATCAGCCACATATATCCAGTGAAAAAGCCCATGATCAGACCCTTCCTGATGCCCCAGCGCTGCGCTGAGATCAAGTTCCTGTCGTACCTGCAGAGGAAGAGAGGAGCTCACCTCAGCTGCATGTGAATAGGAAAAAGTAGATCTTCAACTTTCTTCTGGCAAATGTTACCTTTGCACTTCTTTTAGCTCTCCACCAAAAGCTGCCACAGTCCTGATGGAGGAGAGGACCTCGTCAGCTACAGCTCCAGCTTTGGCGTAGGCCTGCAGCTCCATCCCCGTTAGCTTGGCCACAAACTAGAGGGAGAACAGAGCAAAGTGATGGAGCAGACAAGAGAAAGAAGGTAAGTGAATATAAGTCAAGAGAATACAAATTAGGAGTAGTTGAGTCAAAAAAAGCCAAGTCAAGCCGACACATAAAGCCAGGAGAAGTCTCACCAGAGCCATCAGACCAGCTCCAATACCGATCAGTGGACTTGCTGCGACAATGACGAGCGTTAACTTCCATCCTTTCACAAAGCCAATGCAGAAGCCACACACGAAGGTGGTGAAGCGCTGCAAAAAAATGGCAACTTGATCCGCAATGGCATCGTTGATCTTGTTGATATCACTGTAATACAGATATAACCACTGTAACACACACACACCAATACTTCGACAGACAGAAATCACTCAATCACGGTCCCACTCACTCTGACATCCGAGTGTTGAGCTCCCCTACGGAGGTGCAGTCGAACCAGCCGATCTCCATCCTCATCACTTTGCTGAAGTACATCCTCCTGATGAGCTGAATCTGCCGGGCAGCAGCCGTCACCCACAGGGAGATCTTTCAGTTGTAAGAGAGAGGTTATACTTGTTCGTTGTTAGATATAAAAGCAAGCAGGACAGGAGGACGGTATCAGGACCCTGACCTCTGACCTTTTTGAAATTTAAAGGGGCACTACATCTACTACATTCAAGCACTCAGCCTCAGAAGACACTTTTTTTCTTCTGTGGCTCTCGAGCTTCGTCCAGGCGGAGGGAATTACACCGGTGATGTCATTGTGATGTCACCAGCGTCTCAGTTTGGGATTGGATAAATCAAGTTTTTACAAGTCTAGTCTTTATTTCAAACTGGAACCATTTGGATTTTGAAAAAAAGATGTGATCAATTATCAATAATGGTAGTTCTAATGAGGAAACACTATTGAGTGGCATTCTGGAAAATTAAGGATCCAACATTTATTTAATTTTGACCATTCATTTTTTTAATCTGTCTCTTGCAACCCAACTTTATGAGTGTAATACTAAATCTCGATACCATTTATGAATCAATAGTGGTTTTAAACCAGTTTACTAAAGGGCCCAGAAAGTCCCATCCAGTTCTCTGTCTCGTTATATGTTGCGGTTGACTGGTTTGAATGCAGCACTGAGATCCAATATACATCCAATATACTGAGAGATTTAACCACTGTCTGCAGACTGACTGGAAAACATCCAAGCAAGTGTTCCTGGCCCAGAAGGTGTTCAGTTGTTCAGAAAAAAAGCTTTTTCAATGATTTTACTCATAAATGGTTTGATATTGGCTTGTAATTGTTAATTAGTGGGGTGTCTGGATTGTTAAGAAAGGCTTAATGAAGGCAGTTTTCAGGCCTGTGGGAAATATCCTGAGAGAGGAGAAGAGTTGACTATTTGCAGAAGATCTATTGCCATGCAATTAACTTTTTTTTTAGCTTATCCAGGCAGCAGGAGGAAGATTTCAAAATGGATCAAATTGTGTCATACTGACTGACTTTAAGTGGAGGCAAGGATGACAAGGATAGATCAGATCTATTTTTAGATGCATGAAGACAATGACATTTTAAAACCAACCTGAAAGTATCCCAGCAAGAATACAGCTGCTCCGATTCCAACATAATAGAAGGCAAACTGTGTCATTTCGTATTCAATGTCGAGAATCCTGAAAGCCAGCAAAGATACAATAAATAAGTTAAACACAGATATGAACGTTTAATATCACATCTTACAGTATATTCAGTGTTAAAAAACCTCATTCATGTCCTACAACCCACTTACCCACACGACCTGACCGGCAGCGGTGTCAACATCTCCCATGTTGAATTGTTCATGAGGCTCCAGTCTGACTGGTTCGGCTTTGTGATCGAGCTGTGCGCTGCAGTGTAGTTCTTCTTCCACTGGATAGTGTTGTTCACACACTCCTTCCTGTCATCTTTTAGCTCGTTCAGCTCGATGTCGTACTCGATGAAGGTGTCAGTGAGCAGGCCGAACACCAGCAGCATGAGGGGCTGCGCAGAGCCGTGCAGCACAGCACAAACACTTCCTATCACCATCATCAGCACCTCGTGGCACGTGGCAAAACGGAACTGGACAGATATAGCACACATTAGGCGGATAAATCTGAAGTGGAGATGAAGAAAGAGGACGAGTGTGGCATAGAAAGATATTTTACCAGCTGAAAGAAGCCGACCCTTATTGCTGGTTGATCCTCATTTGCCTGAACTCTGTTTGAAATACAAGGCCAGTCAGTTTTAATGTGAGGTGAATGTGACAAAGTATCAACAGCCCATGTTATATTTGACTCACTTCTTATTGTCCGTGGAATTCGTCATGCTCCTGCATGAAAAAACAGAGAGTTGCTGAATGTAACCTTTCTGAAACACTTTATAACAAGGCTACAGGACATGCCTAAGAAACGCATAAAGACTGCTGCTGCTCAGGATTAAGAACTGATCAAGTCAATTAGTTGATGCTTAGTAGATCAACTGTTGCTAATTCACAACTCACTTTATACATACAGTATACATCAACTTTTAATTTAATTAATGCTCCATTTAGAGCTCAGCACAGAAAACATCTTTATTTGACGCCACATGAACATCATTTAGAAAATTAGGAATGCAAACACACCGGATACAAAAAACAACCAAATATAGACATTTACTGTTCATTCACTTGCTTCTGTTTCCATGTGCTTTCTTAAGCTCTCATAAGTAATTAACTAGTCATAGATCAATTTATGATACATCCTGCATCAGCCCATACATTTAACCATCAGGGCTCGTGCATTAACATGTGTTTTGTATCCGTATTGTAGTGTTTATTCTCTGATATAGCTGCACTGTTGAAGAATGAATATGTAGACTGAATAAACACATGTAAATAATAAGCCTGTGTACATACACACATGCATATATACATACAAGTACTCATGGCCAATGTCATTGACCTCCACAGAGATAACTCTCTTTCTAGCAACTCAATTTCTTATGAACAGGGTGACTAAACAGCCAAGGTCCTTCCTGTTTAAAGGCAATAGTATATTTTAGAAATCAGGCAGCTGCCTTCTCTCTTATTTTTCCTGCTGTTTTAATAATTCTGGCTAGCTGGTGGCTGCACTTTGCACTTGTTGTGAAACCATGCATAAATATTAAAATCCCCTCCACTAAACTGATCCTTGCAGAACATCCATACTGACATCAAAAACCTTTTCTACAAATATAACGAGTATTACTACTCAACTTGTGATTAAAATAAATAATTTATAGATAAAAAATACACAGATAGTGACATAAAATACCCCAAACAAAACTTACATATAGGAGCCAGCTGGTTCTGCAACATAAGAATACAAAAGGCATTCACCTTATTAATTTACATCTGCAGCAGAAACAGATCTCCATATGATTTGATCATTTTTGGTTGCGTCTTCACTGTCTAGAAATTAAACATAATCGTGCGTTACCTTCATCTGAGAAGTCATAGCTGTGGTTTTCCTGCCCCAGTTTTTTAATGCTTTGCAGTTTCACTGATCCAGTCGGCATGTTGACTCATCTTGGAAAAGCAAAAAGAGAGCGAATTTTTAGATGTCCAAAGCCAGAATAACTAGTGTTTGACATCATCTCAGAATTTAAATCCCACTTGACAGTTTATATTTTTAGCTAGTCTTCCACTTTCAAGGAAAATGACATTTAAATGAGAAATTTACCGACACGTTTTCCTTTTTAAGAGAAAACTATTTCTTGTCCTTGATTGAAACTAATCATGGGTTCTAACAGAACCAGGTGAATTAAGCCAGGAATAGCAGCTGTCCTGCTACTAATAAATCCACACATGCAGCTAGTCGTAGTTGTGGCAGCTCGTCACTTCGGTATAGGACGACACACTGTGTACCTTGGCAGCGATTCACTTCGCTCTTATTGAACAGAATTGGGCTTGGTTGGAACTCGGGGTCAGAGTGTTTTGTTTGAGGGTAAGTGTCCTGTCGGTTTATGCTGCTGAAAAAGGTCACTGACCTCGGCGGGCAAACACTTCACCTGCAGAGGCCCTGCACTGTTTCTGCATCCTCACTAGTTGAATGTGGCTGATGCATTCACACAGGTGTTAGCATTAAATTAAAAAAACATAATGTTATCCTTTTGATGTAGTTTATGAATCATATGCTAATGTGCTCCTAGAGAAAAACAAATCTAATCCAGTTGTTTGTTTACTTGGTGAGGATACCAGTACTATGGTACACTGGATTATTCTTTAGCTTGCCTGTCTGCATAATACTAATAAACTGTAAGCAGCATCAACCAAATTGTTTCAACATTGAATAATGGTGTTTAGAGTGTTTGGACTGTAAAAAGGGCCTATTTGTCGAAGACTCGAAATTATTTGATGGACCCTGAGACTTCATGAGGTCTTGATTAGTGCAGGGATTAATAGGATTTAAGCAAAGACCAGAGGCTTTAGTGGACAATTCTTCAATTACTTTGATAGCTAGAGAGCTGTCCTTTAAATACAAGCTTGTGACAGCTTCAATGGACTAATAACAATAGCTCTACATGCAGTTTGCGGATCACTTGATTTAATGTATTCACTTACAAATGGGATTAGTATACAGTGTTTTTATTGCATTACAAAATAAATCTCCACAGCCAGACATCCCAAGGTGATGAGAATGAAAATTAACGCTGTCAAAAGCAGCTACTTTTTTCTGAAATCAGGTTTGAACTATCAAGGAAATCTAAAACTAGTCTAATATCGTAATAGATCCTTCTAATGGACATAAACCCCAGTTGAGCTTAATTAAGTACTGTTTTCTTTCTTCTGGCAAATATCTTCAGACTGGGCTCCAGCTGTCAATATAAATTAAATCTTTATGAAGTTTTGAATTCAGATGATCAAACCTAGAGTCATACTAAAACACTGACTGACATGTTCCTATTAAAACACTGACTCTGTAATTCCTCTAACACCTGGATATTACAGCTAAACTAAAGCAAACTGTTTTAATACTGACAACTGGTTGAAGGACATTTTGGACTTTTTGTAACGCTGAAGTTCAGAGGGTTATTCTACTCTAAAGCATAGTATCACAACTCTTGTGTATTAACTATGTGTGTTATGTCTGTGTGTGTTTGTATTAGTGTGTGGTTTGATTTGGTGGTATGTTTGATTTATCCATCCAACTTCAAATCACTGATCAAACCCCACCTTTTCAGAACTGCTTTTAATAATTAATTTATTTTTGAGTGTTGTAGATATAGCTATATTTTCTTAGTGTGTTGTTACCTTTTTCTTTTCCTTTTTAACTTATGTGAAGTGTCTTTGAGTTTCTTGAAAAGCACTCTAGAAATTAAATGTATTATTATTATTATCATTATTATTATTATTATTATTATTGTTATTATTTAGTAACAGTGCTGTGATTGGCACTCTTCTTTTCGGCTCCTTAAACTATAAAGATGGAAAGGCTTTTAACAGTTAAAACATGTCATAATAGGGAGGCTTATAAGTAAAACTAAAGTACAAATGAAGCTGCGATCACACTGCAAAAATGTATCTGAAAATGTTCTGAGGCCATAGCATTGCACACAAAATATGACCAGTAGCTTATGGTGGCTAATGTTAGCAAACTTTTCTGTTAAATCACGGTTAGGCATAAACAATGTGCCATAGTTGCCCCACTGTTCTGCAGAAGTTACACAGGCGCTTTAAAGCTAAAACATATAGTAGTTTTACTACTCGTGAGCAGCTGTTGTGTGTTGACATTCAAGCATTTTGTACTAGCGGTTGTTGCCCTCTTCCAGCTCGACTTCCTGGTCAGCTTTATGTCGTGTTTCACCTTGAATGCAACAACGAGTGGAATCATATTATTTTCATACTGCAGATTAAAATACTGCAATTTCAAATCAGACACAAAGACACACATGAAATAGGAAAAGTGAAGGTTGATTGTTAATTGTCTGTTAATTTAATAATAAATTAAAATGTCAGCTGACCTTTTGTGAAAGTGCATTAACCCTAAAAAACATTTCTGCTCATTCCTTTGTTTGAGAAACACTGGCTGAAAGGAAATTAAAAATAAAATTAGGTTACACATTGCTGTGCGTCATGAGTAACCCTCTTTGTTGAAGCTACATTGTGAGCCAAAGGAAAACAGTAAGCCCACTTTAAATCAACAACAAAATCTTATACTCTTTTTTTTTTCTGCTGAAGATTTGTTTATATCATTAAGGTTTAAAAAGAGTACAACAGGACCATATTTTAGTTTTTAATCATTTGAGACTCACACAAAAACTTAATTTTCATCTATAAATCAGACCCTTCCATTATGTATGAGAATATACTCCTTGTGATTTATATTGTCATAAAACTGACTGATTGGGCTTCCACGCTCACACATGAAAACAACCGATTGCTCACTGGTGGTCGTGTTCTGTCGGTCACTCACTGCTGCCTTCAAATGCCGTCAGGAAACAAAAAATAAAAAGATTGTGAACATAACATGCGAACAAAGTTTCGGAAGAAGAAGACGTGATAATATGTCAACCTAATTAGTGGTAAAGGTGATTCACGTAGAACTCTCATCTTACCCATCACTTAGAAAGTCCAGGAGGAATATGTTTATTCAGGTTGGAGACATGGCAACTGTAAAATAAAAAACAACTAATATTATTAAAAAGGTACCTTTTTAAACATACTTTTTGTGATTCTTTATTATTATTGTTTCAGTTTGTCTTATTGTAAAGGCACACTGCAACTGTGTTTTAGAAAGAGCCATATAAAAAAAGTGTATTACTTATTATTACTGTGAATGTCATGCAAATTGAACGAAAGTGAACTGTGCTGCCTCCAGAGCAGTCAGCAATATTGAAACTAAAGTCCACACAAACAGTCCAAAAATAGTGTGAAATAAATGTGTCGCAATTTTCTATGTTCAAATGGTTTGAAAGCATTAACAACCGACTGTAAATTGCATGTAGGCCTATTTGGTTACTTTATTTTGTTTAGCAGCACTGTGTAAAGTATGTTGTATATTTAGTCTTTTTTCAAGAAGTGCTTGAAGGCATTGCCTGGACAACAGGAAATGAATTCCCAAACAACGATGCTGCCACCTTGTGGTAGAAATGTAAAATTCAAATGACCCTTAACACACTCAGAGATAAGGTGATAAAGAAATATCTTTATTTACGGTGTTATGTCACTTGTACCAATAAACATTAACTATAACCTTCATTAGTAGACAGAAGACACATACCTATATATAAGGGAATATATCCCCTCTGTGGGTATTGTTTAGATATTTTCACATCCTGTTGTTGAACAGAGGAAGAATGTTTAATTATGTGCAAAAGCACAGAAAGGAAGCAGATGGAGTAATCTACAGAGCGGAGGGTTGGTGGGTCTGATATCATAGGCCTAAATAATGACAGAGATATGACATTTCAACCACAAGACTTTTAATATAAGTTGTTTCAGTGTATGTAAATCTGTGTGTTAGAGGGCACATGTTACAGATTATCTCTGTCTCTCTTTATTCTTCTGTCTTATACAAAGTACAGCATCATTAAATGAACAGAAAAGAGTAAATTTCACAAAATAAAAGAACAAAACTGCAACATTTTATATTTAACATAACAGGAAACACAACACACAACAATCACCAACCAGGAAAGGAGGATTTTAACAGTATATTATCCCTCGTAATTCTGATTAGATCAGCCGGCTCTCTGAGATAACGAGAGGAAATAGGAAGCAACTTGTCCTCTTTGTGCCACAGACCTTTTTCACAGCAGCCATTTTGACATGAAAAGATGAAATAGGGTTTGGTGTCAAATGCTGTCAAATTTAACACATTCATTTTAATTAATTTTAAACATATTGTGTTAAAAAAAAACTGAAAAAATAACAATATGAAATTTAATGATCTGTCATGATCTGTCAAGTTAAAAATTTGATTTTGGATATTTGGAAATAATTTATTGATTTCTAATGTCAACTTTAGATATTTCTATTCAGTGCTTTACTTATGTGCCACAATAATGTGTTTGAGTTAGAATATCTTCATTTGGGGGCTCTTCCAAGCAGATATTGATACATGTGATTGAGATTAAATCAGCATGTATTTCTGCCACCCATAAAAAAATGAGTATTTCTCTAGCTCCGCCCCTGTAAGTAAGGCTCTGTTCCATTAAGTGTAACAGAGCCTTCCAGTGAGTGTAACCATGTACAGTAGCAGCACCCTGACTCTGATTGACCTGAATGGAACAGAACTTTAATTAGTTTCATAGCTAACACCTGTGTTTACTGTTTCTGCTGAAGCACCAGAGGAAAAGCTCCTGAACCCAGCTCCTCTACACACACACCATGACCAAGACTGTCAGGACTGGGTGGAGAGACCAACCTGAAGCTAGAAGGTCAGTGAACATCGGACTTAAACTCATTAAATGGCCAGAAACACAACTCCAGTTCGACCAAAATGTTGCTCTTTATTTGCTGTGCAACTTCATAAGGTGGTGCTGTGTCAGGTGGCTGCTTTAGCTTGTTTTGGAGT